GTGAACGGCTCCAGCCGGCTGGCCGCCATCCAGCCATTCGACCAGCTGTTCGCTCTTCACGCCATCGGTGAGGTGGACTCAACCCAGGGCTGCCATACCTCAATCGCAGCGTCTGGGCCTTGGAAGGGGTTACAACGATGCCCTGCTAACTACTTTTCTGATGCTAAGCAACCATCTGGCCTCGATGTTTGAAAACCACCAGCGCAGGGTTTCACAACCTCAGTGCTAGTGATATATTTGGCTGGGTGACCTTGTGTTATGGGGTCTGTCCTGGGCGTTTGGGGATGTTCAGAAGCATCCCTGGCCTCTACCCACTAGATACCACCAGTGTCCTCCTCCTGTCCCTGTCGTGACAAAAAGAAGAAAGTCTCAAACATTCCCAAATGTCCCTTAGGGGGTGAGATTTCCCCCAGCTGAGAATCACTGCACCAGGAAGAGTGAGCTCCCTGCTTAAGGGAGCCTCCTTCATTTCTCATCGGTTCTCACTGGTTTTGTGAAATTTCTGCCCACGATGGGTGCTGTGACAGACTGGTGCCACCCTGAACAGTTCTGGGCCCTTTTCCCGCAGGAAGGTCCTTCCGCTGTCCAAAGGCAGCGGGGCTTCCTGTCCTGAGGCCCCTGTCCACGTGCTGACTTCCCTCTCCCCCATTCCCCGTGGATTCCTTTTACGACCCGCCACCTCTCTGCCCCATCCCCTCTGGACGTTCTCCAATTAGAATGTCTCTCTCAGCATGCAATTCTCAGCTCTCAATGTATTATTCAAGGTTTTATTAGCTTAACTCAAGACAGAACCTCATCTTAGGTACTTCTATTAATGAAAGTCATCAGGAGCCTTTCGCGTGACATTCTTGTTTATTGACATTCAAGACGTCAGTGGTGGGCTGGTCGCTAGTGCAGGTGTAGAGCCAGGCTGCTGGGACTTGGGTCCTGGCTCCTCTTCTGACTAGCTGAGTGATCTTTGACAACCTGGCCATTTCTCCGTGCCTCAATCTTCTTATCTAAAGAATAGGGAGAAACTAACTCTTCCTGTGAGGTCTTTGTGAGAATTAAGTGTGCTAATAATGATAAAGTGCTTAGAATGGTGTCTGGCATAAGTGTTTGACAAATACACTAAAATATTATTCAAAGTCTAGGATTTGGCTTTGACATGTCGATATCAGATAGAATATAACTTTGTTTAAAGAATCATAGCACTCACTAAAGTGGTTATGCAATTTTCTCCAATATTATATTTCTTAGGTGACCTAAAAATGTTACTTTCATGAAAATAGGCAAAGATGCTGAGAAGGACCTAGGAAACAAGGATATTAATATGAAAATGGATATGACCTGGTATAGACTGCAGGAATTCATTTTCTTTTACGATTTTCATTTTATTGAGGCCAATTCCTAGGATTACTAGAAGAAGTAAGTAATTTCTTGGTTAAGACTTTTCTGCTCAGGGAATGGGAGGCTCTGAAGCCTGTCGATCCCATTTTTAGCTTGTCCCTATGAGCCATTAATTGTGAGATCTAAGTCACATAATCTAAGACAAGGACACTCACAAATAATTTCCACTCACCTCACACGGCCATAAGACAACCAAGTGAGATATCAGGGGAAGAACTTTAGAGTTA